TTTATTATAAACGGGCGGGACAGTGCGCCATTAAACAACGCGGGCCAGAATATGCATTACATCCGAGCGCGATCATTCGAGCGCGCGAACACTTGGATTATGTATCCGCAATTATCCGACGCGTCGTGCGGTGTACATATCTGAATACCTAATTACTTAATATAATTGATGACGTAAATTAAGGAATGTAATTAACGTGGCAAATGAATGAAGAGATCAGCGCGAACTTGTTAATGTACATAAATACATATATTCATAAATACAATATATTCCGACATGTGAATGTAGAGGCGGATACTTAATTAACGCGCGTGCATTACAACTCGTTGAGCGCTATACGTTGCAATACGTAGGAAATCTCCCATGGAGGTAATTTATTAAAGTCTTTAGCGGAAATCTGGAGATTGTTCAGCGCGGCGCGGATTGCTCTCGTTGCAACCGCGGATTCGCAACGGCGAATTGCAAGTGCTGATAATATTTTCTCGATGCTCACACACTCTCTCTCTCTCTCTCTCTCGAGGTCTGTTCTTTTTAGCTGAACTGTCTGAACTGGTGCATACTGGTGCAATAAGTCAGAGTGAGACAAACATATTTTGTTTCACTCTAACTTATTGCACCAATTCAGGCATTTCAGATAAAAAGAACAGACTTTTTCTCTCTCTCCTTCTCTTTCCGCGACAGGAGACCTCGCGACGCGAGTACGGGTTTAATTTGTTTCTCGTGCGGTGCTCATTCCGCCGCAGTTTCACGTAGGCGAAATGCGCCACGCAACGCCACTCTGAGAGCGCGCACGGCACAAACAAACTTGTATTATTTAACCGCGGGCACCGATTATTTTGCAGCGAGTAAATATTTACATCATACAATGTAATTTATAATGCAATTAATGACATAATTTAAATAATAAATTAATGCACATATCACTGCGCATAATTAATTAGTGTTATTCGGCGCGTATATTCGGCTGTGTTCTGGCGCCCTCGATTGTGTCTATTAACGCGCGGACGGTCCGGAGAGGACAAATATGATAATTATTAAAACATCAATACAGAGCGCTCTCTACTCCTGTCTGGCGCTTTGCGTCGATCCGACAAGCTGCGACTGTAACTTTGATGATAGATTCGCCGGGCAATCTCAAGTCGATTTGGCGGAAATGTCGAGGGAGGTCGTCATTTATCAGAAACTTTCCAATTTTTCGACATTATACATCCTCCCCGACCGGGTCTCGAATTAAAATTCTATCAAAGTAAAGTCTACTCGGTAGTAACCTCGCAGTAACCGAGGAATACGGGGGCTTCGTTATCTATTTGTGCCACAGAAGTTCGGCGCGCGCGCGTGCGCTCACGAGAGTAAAGTCATTCTCTTTTAATCTCTCCCAAACTCGGAAACTATAAACGTCGCGATATTTTCGCCGAGGAAAGATCGACCTCGCGCGCTCATTCGTCGGGCGACCGCATCGTTAAAATTAAAGTCACGGGACGCTATGTATGCTGCGAAAATAAAAATTTGCAGACGGCTAACCTGAACAAAAAATCACCGACGTTCTCGCGACTGTACCGTATCGATCGTGTCGATCTCGCAGCAGGCGGTGTGCGTGAGACACGCAGGGCGCGTTGCGCCGCGCGAGGGCAAACATAAAAATCGAGAGAGCAGAAAAGGAAAAAATTGGCGCAACTTTTTCGAGAATTAGGAAAGCGAAAAAAACCGTCCTCGTGTGGCGACGGGATGTGCGAATCCCGTCGGAGTCTCGCCCGCGCTTTCTGCGCGAGATTCATTTTTACGATACTCACCACCATGGACGTCACAGAAGAGCCGCAGACTGTCACCCTCCACGTAGGGCCCGACGGTCGAGCTGCGCGTGTTCCCGTTCACGTCGACGATCGCGATCTTGTGCGGCGGCACTGCAAACGAACAGAAACGTCGATATATTTATCGTCGGCGAATATTCATGAGCGGGCTTCCCCCTGGTCGCGTCGCCGCAGCGAGAGAGCGGCGTCGCGACGCGACGAGACGCGACTCGCGTATAGGGGGTGTCCCGGGTGCGACGCGATGAGGCGCCGCGTAGGAGCTCGACACGTCACGAAAAGTCCGATAACACGAAATTGGTATTGGAAAGATCGTGCCTGAGATATCGTTGACGGCATTAAATTGAAATCTGAAATCGATATCGAGCGCTCGCTCCGCTCGCAGTGGTATCGTCGCGCGATGTACTTCTGACGGCCGCGCACAGCACATCGGTACGTAAATACGTATGTATGTACCGGGCGTTGCGTCCGTGCGGACCATCCGTGCGCCTCCTCCACCATTACCTCGGCAGGACGGAGAAGTCGGGAATTGTTGCGATATCGGATATCGGACGGGACGCGCCAAGTTCGCCGGATCTTAAAATAATAAGAATGAGGACTCGAGAGGAAGCCCGCACTTTGGGGCGTTTCCTTCCGAGAGCTCGCGCGGTATTTTCTAATTCCCGTCCCGGTAAATGAGTTTATCGCGCTTTATTCGAATTCCCAGCGGGCTTACAGAAATCAGATTGTGACACTCGGGATGTTTGCGTAAAACGAAGAAGCACCACTCGACGCCGCGAGAATTCGCGGATGATGTAATTGGAAAATTACAAACGCAAAAATCACGACGACTCGTGGAGGGAGGGAGGAGGGAGAAGCGTTGGTTCAGGTACGCTCTTGGTTTCACCCTTATTTTTCCACCCCCGCCGCCTCTTTTCTCTTTCTCGCCGTATAAAGAATTATTTTGGTTGCGCGCTCGGAGTAGAACAGCGTTTTATTATACTTATTGCAGTCTCCTTTCATGACGCATCTAGCGAGACAGTCGCGAGCTTCGAAATCAAAAGCGGCAGCTTGGCGCGCCACTGAAACACAGTCGCTTTTCACTTCGGTTTCATCAAATGCATTACTACTGTCGCCGAGAGAAAGGGCCCAAGTCTCACTCACCCCTTCCCCCTCTCTCCAAGAACTGTCTTTTATAACTCCGACTGCAAATTTATGTGTGTGTGTGACACGGTCAACTTTGAGCGTCGTTAGTTTTGTCGGCGAGTATAACTAATTATAAGACCAATTCTCGCGAGCTCTTTAAGTAGAATAAAGTAGTCGGGCCGCCGTTTGTTTCCGGCTTCTCATTTCCCAGTTAACTTCTCCGAGTTTTTATTCGGGACACCTCTTTGAATGCAAATACGCTCCCCGCGGAACAAGAGGAAGCTCATGAATATCGCGCTCGATCGGTGTCGCGAGAATCGAACGCGCTAATAGACGTTCTCAGAAGGCTCCTCAAGTTGTGTTATTACGGACACCTGCTTCGCGAATCCCACCTTGATCTCTCTTTCTCTCTCTCTCTCTCTCTCTTTGTCTCTCTCCCCCTATCTATGGAAGACCTGTTCTCCCCTCCCCCTCCCCCGTTCTTCGACTCGCCGTTCTCCGTCTTCGTAATCCTGACAAATGGTATGCGGGGAGGTATCATTTATCGGTATTAGCCTTTGTAGTATTTGCAGTATCATAGTCCGTCGTGTAATACGTTATGTATCTCGGGCGTCTTCGCGCGAGCGCGAGCGCGCGCTCCGTAAGGAGGGACATGATGTACTCGCGTCGATGCCGGTTCCCGGCGTCGACCTCTTTTTAAAGGCCCGGGGTCCGTAAGGACGCTCGATGCAGTCTACCGGCGCGGCGCGGCGCGCCATTAATCCGCGACAGGTCTGACAGTGGCGCACCTGCAACTACTGCCGTTATTTATTTCCACAGGAACTGCCTCACGCTCTATACTGACGAGAATTATCGTACTTTAATGAGACCGATCCCTCCGCTAAAATTCAATTTGTTATCCGACTCGCGAGCGCCCCCGCGCCCACTGACTTTGTTGCGCTCGGCTACTTTCTTTCCTAATTATTCACCAGCGTCTGGCGTGCGCTAAACGCGCACGATCATCGAGCCCCAATCATTCTTTTCATACGTTCCATTTAGCCGCGAGAGAGTATGCGCGTTCCACCTGCTGATGACGATTAAATTTGTTTTCCCTGCCGCGTTAACGGCGATCGTGATAAAGATGGATCTCGACCGCCGGCGAACGATTAACGCCGCGCCATCGCTAATGTCTCCAGCCAGGCCCCTTTCGTTTTTCAATTACCACGGCGGGGACATAATTTTCCTAGAATCATGAATGCCGGCAGAGATATTTACGGTTATGACGATACAGCGCGCTCTCCACGCCCTCCAGCCCTCTGCGGAAATATCTATATAGCTCTGGAAAAGGACCGCGGAGATAAATTGATTCCGCATTATGCTCTATCGCGTCTTTGTGATAAAATACCACGACGATATTTTCTCAGATCGTCCCACACACCTTTAACTCCCTCCCTTTCTCTCTCTCTCCCTCCCTCTCTCTCGCTCTCTTTCGCGGCGTGCCCTCGCGAAATTCGCGTTCCGTCCACGTGTGTTGTGTTTGCTAAATCGATCGACTTATTCACGATTGTGTAACGTTGCAAACACTCTGTGGCTGACTGTGCAGTCGTCACAAAGGAGTTTGCCGAGCCGATTACATGCGAAATTTTGCCGTAAAGTGTATCAGCGTGTAATGCAGTTACGTATAACAAAGTATATACGTACTAAGTACGGTTGCGGATTTGTATATCCTCAACAAGAGCAGACCCCACGGCTCTTTGAGGATCCGCAGATGGATGTAAATTGCCGGACAAAATCGCTCGAGCGAGACTAATCCCGCAGCGATTCGGTGCAATCTAAACTCGTCGTCGTTCGGGGATTGAGAATCAGTCTTCGAAGTAAATTACAGACATTTGACAGCGATCGGACACTGTTAATGTCTTATTGCTCTCTTGAAATATCTCGAAATGAGATTTCCATTTATAAATATCTCGAAATGAGATTAAGAAGAAGAGTGACGATCGAGTCACTCGAATTACGCATTCGTAGATTGAATACTGCACTCTGAATCGTCGAGTGAATGTTTTCACTCGAAATTCAAGAGTGGATCTGATACACTCCGCTGTCACAGGGGCACACATTCGCCCTAATCGACTGGAACAAGTCCGCTCGAATCGGCTGAAACTCGTACCGAGGTAGAATCCGCTCTGAGTGAAAAACATTCACTCTTGCGATTCCGATATTTGCAGTATTTTTTCATTATCGCTTCTCGAGCGAATTTTCTCTCGTTTTCAGTGAGATTTCTGTCAGAGAAATTTGCAGAGTTAAGAACAATTGTTCCATTTCACGGGAATTAAATTTGTTTCTTTGTAAAAATTAACGTTTCCAGATAACCCCCACCGTTATCAATTCATTCTTCTGTCCCCTCGCTGCGGCAACATTATTCGCTGTGGCAACTTTTGTTTTTGCAGCACATTCAATATTATCCCTTCGCGGTTCGCGTTGCGGTTTGTATTGCAGTTTCTCATTCGGGCTATACAATCCCGCGCGCAGTTGACCGCCATTCCATTCGCGAGCTCGTACTTCGCCAGCAATTCGCGATCACGCTTGCTCGCTCGTTGGTTGGTTGGTTCATTCGTTCGCTCGCTTGCTCGCGCGGCCCGGTTCAGATTTATTGTTTATAAAGGCTCTTGATTTTTCGTGGGGGTGACGGGGGAATGGAGAGAACATCATCAGCATCGAGAGCGTGGCGTCGGGCCGGCTGGCACGGGAAGTCCGAAACTGTTTTTCGTGATTAATGCCGCGCTGGCGGGCCGTCGATGGGGCGAGGGGCGAACAACGGCAGGGAAAAGGGGTAGCGGTAACGGACGACCGAGCCATCGGGTGGTAATTGTCGTGCCCGCAGTTACGCTGGTTAATTTGAGCCGCCAAAAAGTTACTTCCGCCTTTTGCTCCCGTCGTGGCCATAAAAAAATTTTACTGCGGTCCGTGCAGGTGCGCAAATGAAGTCCTATCGGTCTGCTAACGACGGCGGCGCGCTATAACGACGGGCGGGATTTGATTTCGGGGCCGAACTTTGCGTTGCCGTGCGCTCACGCTCGCGCCAAGTTTTCCGAACCTGATAAACCGGCGCGCGCTCGTGAAATAAAATATATGCGACTGCGCGGAATAAAGGGTTTAAATCGCGCGCCGTGTGTCATCGGATATTTCGACCGCGGGAGCGCCGCGCGCGTACCTTAGGGCATAATAATTTTCTGAAGGTGGGAGAGAGGAGTTTGTGGGATTATACCGTTACGGTATATGAGCGCTAAATTATAACGAGCTAATACCTCAATTTCGATTGCGATCGGAATGTACGTATACAAGTGCGTGTGTACGAAGAAACCGCGATACGGCTGAAAGCGGCGCTTCATCTTTGCGATATCAATAATTTACATAATGCACCGCTTTATGCATGTATTTTTACTTTAACACGCGCAAGCTTCATCAAAGATAGAGAGCTTAATGAAGCACTTTTATTCCAAATTACGAGCGCAATTTTGCTTTTATCATCGTATTTACTTCGCGCGCCCGCCATCGGTATGCATCGTATGCGACATGCGGCTCGATGAAGTTTCGTCCGAGCGATTTTTTAATTTTCAATGCGTGACAACAGACCGATTAGACTGTGTTAGTCGTATATGGCATGAGTCCAGGAAGAGACGAGAGGAGCGGCGGTAACGATGGGCAGGGGAGAGACGCGCGAAATTGCGGGCGTGATTGAAAAATATTTTCACGGGAAATACACAGAGATACTCATGAACAAAAGTTCGCTTTTTATTCATAAAGCGGCGGCGATTGTGGGGGCGAAAAAATAAAACGTCCCCCGACGTTGTGCGCGCGCGCGAGAGAGAGAAGAAATTGGGTCGATGTGTACGCGCGCAACACGAGGAAGAGAGAAAGAAAGGGGCCGAAAGGGATGAAAGGGAGTGTGAGTGAGGAGCGTATATATGAATTCTAAAGAGAAGACCGTTCGT